TGTCCAGTTTGTAAGCGTATACCTGTTGCATGGATGTCTTGCCCCTTTAGTCCTGTGTAATTAAATGTGATTAGTGTGGGTTACAGAATTAAACATAATGTGATGAATAGAAAGGGTAAGATTTTTTTTATAATTTATTTTTATTGAGGTAAAAATAGAGTTTTAAGAAAAAAGTTTCTTTTACATTAAATTGGGAGAACAATATGATTTAAAGAAAGTAGGGAAAAAATAAAAAGAGAAAAAAAGAAAAAAACAGGATGTTTGACTTTCTTCTTCTCCTAAGTGGTTGCTTCAGATTTTCTCGATTTTTTTAATAAAGAAAAACAATAATGGTCCATCTTCTTCCCCTCTGGCTCATATAACTTCCCAAGATCCTTTCTTCATTTAATTTTCCCTTTACTAAATTATAAGTTCCAACTTGGATTGTTTGAAGTAATCCTTGACCAGGTCCCAATTCATTTGTTTCTTAGGTGATCCCTGATTTGGAGATAGCCAATAGGTCAATCTGTCCATGCTCATTATCTCTAGGACCTTATTTTGCCAAAGTTCTCTCTTTGGTATCTCTTTAGATCTCCATTTCTTAGCATATACTATTCTGCCTGCAATAAACAGATAATTTAAAAAAGCATCTCTTTGTCCTTGCACTTTTCTAGGTCTAACATTCATAGTAAATAGTATTCTGGTTCTTTTTATATGTTAACCTTTAAGATTTTTTGAATGTCTCCATGTATGTCTTTCCAAAATAATTTTGCTTTTGGACAGGACCACCATATGTGGAAAAAGTACCTATTTGTTGCACACACTTCCAACATTTATTGGAAGTAATCTTGTAGCACTTTGAGAGTTTCTGTGGCATTATATACCATCTATATATCCTCTTGAGGCAATTTTCTCCTAAGTCATAGCCATAAATATATTTAAGGCTCTGATTCCAAACTTTTTTCCATTTTTCTAAATTTATTGAGTGGCCAATATTTGCTTCCCATTTAACCATGCATTCTTTGATCCGGTCAGTTTCTGTGGCCCATTCCAGTAAAAAAATGTAAATTTTTGTAATTATTTTATTTTCTGATGTCATCATACTGTCCCAAAAAGAGTCTTTTTCAGCAAAACTTAACTCTTATCTTTCTTAAACATTTATTTGATTTGTCTGTATTGGAACCATGAAAAGTTTCTAAATTTTTGTTTGCTATCTCCTTCATCTCTTAATTCAATTTTCCCTTTTTCTGTCTCCAATATATACCTGTAAGTTGGGCAAATTTGCCACCCTAATTCCCTTCTTTGAAAAGCTTCCAATAAATAGAAAGTGTAAGATTTAAACACCATGAAAGTGTTCTGCTGCACCATAAATTAAAATGACGATTATTACTATTGTTGCTGAAAATTCCCTTTAGTAGTTATGAATTTGTTTAGGGGCTACTTAGGGACTGTGAAAGTCCCCCAGTTCCTATATACTGGGCAATCGCTACTGTGATCAGTCGAGGTCTTTCCCTTTATGGATTGAGTCCCAGCCCCTTGCAATCCAAGTGACAATCAAGGAGGGGATGAGTCACAATGCAGAATGAGATATGATGCCTATCAGAACACAGCACACAATGGGTGTCACCTTTGCACAACAAGGAATTCTGCTTGATGTGCCATTGCACAGTGTTGAAATTTACTAGTATAGTTGTGTATCACGTCAGCAGCTCGAGTCCATCCACGGAAGAGTCATGCATTGTAGCTTCTGATGCAGATTTCCAGTCACATTTTTGAAAAATATCATTTTCTCAACCACAGATCAAAATGTCTTAATAACCTTTCAATCTTTTGCACCTTTCCTATTGTCCAAATCACTTACTTCTCTACACTACTTGTTTGCATTGGAAGGAAACATCTCCTATTAGTGGGAATGGAAGATTTTCTTTGTGTTTGAATCAAAAGTGCAGGCAAGACAAAGATTTGGGTTTAAAAAATAGATCAGGGAACAAGTCTAAACCTAGAACTAAATGCTCCTACGTCCTATGTATGTATATTCATATTTCAGCTGTAACATGCCAATTTATCATCTAGAAACAGTACAGCCATGTAATCAGCTTAGTGTGCCTTTTTTCTCAAGAATAACTAATTTATACCACATGTGAAGAACTACACTAAATCTACTTCTGATTATTGGGGATATGTAATAATGCATCTATGCAGTTGCATTTGGCCAACTCAGCATGATATAACACACAGTAACTCAAATCAGTTTATGAAAACACAGAACTTTTCACAACAGTACCATATTTATTCCATTTGTGAAATAACACATTACAAACATTTTCAGATACTGACACCTGACATGCTGCAATCCACTTTTCAAACTTGTTTCTGTCAATTTCAGGAATACTGTGGGATCTAGTTTGGTACTCTGGGATTGAGCTTCAAGACTCCAGTGGGACAGAATTCAATTTTAGGAAAATATCTCCTACCACTTCATCACACTTAAAATCCACTTAAAATCTGGTTTCTGCCTCCTGCAGAATTCTGGGGTTTGTAGTTTAGTGAGGCTATTAAAGGCTCCTCCCTAAACTACAAACCCCAGAATTCTGCAGGAGGCAGAAACCGTATTTTAAGTGGATTTTTCTCTAGTGTGATGAGGCCCTAGAGAAGAGCTATATTTTTTAGTTCTCTCTATTCGATACAGACCTTGACTGATGCATGACCATAACAACCACTTTCCAAAATATGGGGCACATAATATGCACCAGTCCAGCAAGGTGTTATGGTTGATGTAATCCAACACATCTAGAAGACACGGCTGTTCATTCAGGGACCTTATTTCTAGCATGGAACACAGTGGCATGAGTTCCTACTGGAATCCTTTTTCTGCCTCTGAATAATCTCTTTGGGCAGGGCAGAGCATGGGTGAACTTCCACCTCTATGATCCCCTTTTGAAACACCCCTATGGGTTCAGGCCTACTGGAACTCACTTTTGGTCAATATACTCTGTGAATCAGGGTTATTTGTATGGTAGGGTTGGTTCTGTGAGGTAGGCGGGATAAATTATGAATGGTGTTATGTCCTTTGGGAGCTATTTCTTCAAGAAGAAGAAAAAACATCAAATTTTGGGAAGGATTTGTGAGTGTCAAGAGTCAGCATGTTGTAGCGTATAAGGTTACCTTGGGCAAATCACATTCAGAGGAAGTCAAAGGCAAAATTCCTCTAAACAAAACAGACCTTGCCAAGGAGAGGGTCAACATAGATTGGAATCAACTTGAAGGCACAACAACAACAACAACAACAGTAATGGGCCTTCGGGGATGGTCATAGCAGTTTACAAATCCATTTAAATGGACATATAGGGCCAAAATTAATCCAGGAGATTCTTAAACTGAGAGTTAGTTCTGCCCTTCACTAACTTAACCATTCCCCCAAATTTTCACGCTCTATGATTTTTCATAATTTTCATAGCAACAGCTTTAGAATCCTCCACATTTTTCTCCTTGTGTAAAATAGGTGGAAGCATTCACTGCAAAACAGGCCCTTGTGGCATTTCACACACAATTGAAAGTCACATTACATATTCTGATCAGTGCATTTCAAAATATATTAAAACCAGGGAAGGCAGCCATAGGTTTAAACAAGAAAAATCAACACTGTTAGTGCAAACATAATCAAGTCAAGACCTTGTTTCCACACAAATCACAACCTTTTGCTTTTAAAAGTCTCTTTTATGCTCTGCTTCCTTTTTGTTGTTTTTAAATAAAATCTCTCTCTGAATTTCATTTTCCTCCTTGCTTTATCTTCTGGTACTGGTTTAACCTTGTTAACTATCGATTTCCCCACATCTTGCTCAACAACTCTTTCTGCCACCGGAGGCTATTTCAGAGGGAGCTCCATCCTATAATGACTCTGGTCAGTGCTGAAAAGATACTTGCCCATATATCCTGTAAGATGATACTTACAATTCAAGTTGAGGCAATCAGACAATTTTACTCAGCTTTTCAAAGCAACTAGATACATTTCCAGGATGTTCCATGACAGCAGAGCTAGCCCTTCCATAAGGCACAGTGATATAACTTTCTTGAGTGGCAGACATGTTAGATATTATTCTAGCTATTTTTTTTGAGTGCCAGGCACCATGACCGTTCCACTGTGCAACACAGTTTATCTTATTCCCCAAAGGTCTCTTGCTATCAGCAACTTTTAATTGCCAGTCCAATAAGTTTCTGTAAGTTTGGGGAGGAGATCATATTGTCTTTTGCCTCCACCAACAAATGTCTTTGCAAGACAGGGACCAATGAGTTGCACTCCCTGTTCTTGAATCCTTAAGTATGATGTCAAGAGGAAACCATACACACTACTTCCTCTTTTCCATTGGAGAGATGGGTGTCCTCCCTCAACTTGTCAAAAATTGTCATGTCATGCTCACCAAATTGGTTTCCTCCATTCATCCCCAGGAAAACTTCTTTCCAATTCTGGATGGAGAATGGTAGAGTTCACTTATCATTCTTTTCAGATTTCAAAAACCAGGAGGTAAGAAGACTGACTTTGATTCCTCAAGCCAATGAGGAAAATACTTACATCAATGTTGTGGAACAAAAATTCTAATATTTATTTTTATTTATTTATTTATTTGATACACTTATATACCGCCAATATCTCAGCCTGTGCGGCGACTCATTGCGGTTTACAACTTATTAAAATACAATAGTCACTTAAAAATATAAAATAGATATCAAAATACAAGACATAAAACATACATAATATAAACATATTTCGTATCGGGCCACCAATACAAATCAAAGCTTCTCATAGTTAAAATCGTAATTCAGTTCATTATCCTTGGTTGCAAGTCCATGATCAAAATAACCATACATCGGAAATTAGTTAAAAACTTGCTCGAACATCCAAGTTTTTAGTTTTTTCCGAAATGCCATTAGCGAGGTGACTGATCAGACATTACTTGAGAGTTTCCATTCTGGAGGAAACTATCCCTATTTTACTGTCTATTTGGCAGACACAGAAGGAATTAGGAAGTTCCCATTGAGATCGGAGGTCATAGCTTTGAAGAGCAAATGGACTCTTGAGGGCTTGGTCTCCTCAGGCTTGGAGTCTTTCCGAAAAAGACCTTATGGATCAAAGAAGGCAAAGTAAAGATCCTTTTTGCCCAGCTCAGAAAGTTCCAACATGAACGCTGTACAGCAGAAGAAGAAAAGTAGAAGATGATGGGGTCCAAACTGGCACTGAAGGTGCTGGGAATCAAGGCTTCGTCCCTCCACTCTGGACTTTCCCACTTGATGAAACCAACCACATGGGAGATGTTGTAGGGTGAAAAACAGATGATGAAAATAGCTAAAGTAGCTGCCACCAATCCCACAGCACGTTGCTTTTTGCTCTTGCGGATATGAGCTGATGAAATCACAATCCTCATAAAGCTGAAATAGCAGAAGCAGGTGATCAAGGAGGGCACCAGGAAGAGGACAATGCCCAGCTCTAGGCGGACAGGGAGCAGGATGGTAAGCTGTTCATTTGTGAAGTTCCTGTAACAGAGGTCATTGGAGAAATTGACTGGTGGAGAAAAATTGTACGGGTGAAACTCTGTGATGTACACAATGCTGCAGTGCCCAAAACAGCAAGTCCACAGGCTTAGGCTGGCCACTACTACGTAGACCAAATGGCGCCTCAGCCTGTAGTGTATGGGGTATGCAACACCTAGGTATCGCTCCACGCTCACTGCCGTGAGGAAAAGGGTGCTGGTGTAGATGGTGCTGAAGTAGAGAAGGCCACTAAGAGGGCACAAAAATAAAGGCAGAGCCCAGTGGCCCACAAACTGCTCAGATACCTTGAAAGGCAAGAAAGCCAGGAAGATAAGATCAGAAAGAGTGAGGTTGAAGAGCAAGATACTGTTGGGAGTTGCTTTGGTCCTCAGCTTCTTAACAAGGGCATGCAAGGCGAGCAAGTTGGTGGGAAGCCCTGTTAGGATGGCGAGTACATAGATGGAAAGATAGAAGCTCCGGGCTTCGTAGCTGGAAGGCATGTTGGAGGCTCTTTACCTGTTGAGAGAGAAATTACATCTGAGTCAATGTATAAATGATGGGAAGAGACAAGAAATAATATATTTCACATATTCTTCTCAAGCATTCTGGCCAGAAATATAGAAATATTTTTCTGGGACTTGGACAATTCAGGATAATCCATGCGTTGGTAATACTACCATTATACCTCTGATTAATATCTGCCATCCATATCCATGCCCTGCTCACCCCACCAGCATAATAGATATCTTGAGCAATGATTAATTGATTTGCCCCAAGGAAATGAGAAAATATTGTTTCCATTCCTTGTTTGATGTTTTGTCATATGTCTGTTATAACAGGCTGTGTTTAACAATTTGTGTTTATATGTTGAGTTGTTTAAATTTTGTTAGTATGGATGTATTGTTGTTGTATTCAGGCATTGAATGTTTGCCTTTTATGTTTTGAATCCGCTCTGAGTCCCTTTGGGGAGATAGAGCGGAATAAAGTTATTATTATTATTATTATTATTATTATTATTATTATTACTCTTACTACTACTTCAGATTAAATACTCTAATTCTACATACATTTTAATATTATTTTTTAATTTGGAATTGTATATGTTTTAAACTATGTGTGGTTTTACTTATTGTTTACTTGTTATTTTATATTCAATTTTGAAGCTCACTTTAGAGAAAAAGCAGGATATAAATGACAGAAGTTCTCTACAGAAGAGATATGAGAAAAGCATACATCTTAGCTGTCCTGAGACCCCTTGAGGAGACAGAGCTGCCTATAAATAAAGTTTATTATTATTACATATGTCTATCCCCCCTTATTTTTCTTACTGGTTCTTTCCTAGTTTGGACTGATTTTTTCCAGCCAGATTAATAGATTAATAGTGCAACTAGGGATTCAATTATTCATTACTTTTCTTTTCAAAGGAAGCAATTAACAATTTTAGCAATTATCTTGAAAGAGTGAGAAAACCTTAGAACGCCACCCAGTTTTTGAGACCTATTTGCAATTCATGAGTTATTCCCTATTATTCTGTGAAAAATTCAAACATGGCTATTTTGCACAGAAACCATTTTTTTTTTGCACAGGAAACTTTTTTGGATAGTATACATAATATTTCTGCATATGGACAATATTTCCTGTACAGAAATAATTCATTTTTTTTTTTTGCAACTAAAATGCAACTTCGCACAGAATAAATCCAAAACTGCAAATATTTCCCAGGATTCTTCTCATTTTCATTTTTCATTACTTGAAAAATATGTTTTTCAATGGTTTTTCTTTTTTTTTTTTAAACTATGGTTAGTTTCACCCTTGGAGAATTTCTATTAAATTTTTCCCTCACTTCCTACTAAGATGGAAAACATTGATATGACAGAGAAACATAATTCTAGCAAGGTGAGATTTTGTAAAATGCCTAAAAGAAATCAGTATCCAGTATTTCACATTCATTTATTTACCCTATTTATACCCCGCCTTTCTCCACCCCGGAGGGGACTCAAGGCAGCTTACATATAGGCAATTATTCAATGCCAAAGTAAAGGTAAAGGTTTTCCCCTGACATTAAGTCTAGTTGTGTCCGACTCTGGAGGTTGGTGCTCGCCACCATTTCTAAGCCAAAGAGCCAGCATTGTCCATAGACACCTCCAAGGTCATGTGGCTGGCATGACTGTATGGAGCTCTGTTACCTTTCCGCCGGAGTGGTAACTATTGATCTACTCACATTTGCGTGTTTTTGAACTGCTAGGTTGGCTCACGCCACTCCCTAGATTCAAACCTGCAACCTTTCGATCAGCAAATTCAGCAGCTCAGTGCTTTAACCCACTGCGCCACAGAACACATACAATTCCAATAACATAGAAATTAAATTAAAATTAATACAGTGGGTTGTTGTAGGTTTTTCGGGCTACATGGCCATGTTCTAGAAGTATTGTCTCCTGACGTTTCACCTGCATCTACACCACTTCACCCTACATCTGCGCCCTACACCACTGGAGAAATTACACTGCTTAGCCGGTATCGCACCACCTGACATCCGCCAGGAAGTGGCAGCCAATAGTGAAAGGACCAAGGCAGAGACATCTCCAGCTCATCCCCTGTTTGGGTATCAGCCAGCACATCAACGACTTAAATCCAGACATAGTTTTCTAAGATCTACAGAGACACTCGCTGGAACGCCTCAGCAAACGAGAGTCCAAAAGTGGCAGGCTCAAACCCAGAACCTCAACCAATGGCTGATACCACATGAGAGACTCCCCCCTGGGAACACAGAGGACTGGGCGACTTGGAAGGCGCTGAACAGACTGCGCTCTGGCACCACGAGATGCAGAGCCAAGCTTCAGAAATGGGGCTACAAAGTGGAATCCTCGACATGCGATTACGGAGAGGAGCAAGCCACTGACCACCTGCTGCAATGCAACCTGAGCCCAGCCACATGCACAATGGAGGACCTTCTTGCAGCAACACCAGAAGCACTCCAAGTGGCCAGATACTGGTCAAAGGACATTTAATCAACTACCAAACTCACACATTTTGTATTTTCTCTGTTTGTTTGCTTTGTTCTGTTAGAAATGTAATATAATTGACTGGCTGTCCTGACACGAGAAATAAATAAAAAATAAACCTGCATCTATGGTAAGCATCCTCAGAGGTTGTGAAGTCTAGATATTAATACATATTAAACATTTAAAAACATTAAATTCGATATTAAAACCACACCATCCATAATCTTAGTCCAAGGCTGTTACATAGTCATTGGACATTTTTCATATCAGTTATTGCAATATCAGGGGGTTATTGCATCCTGCTGTGTACTTTCTCTGGTTAGCATAGTGCCCTTCTCTTCCACTGTGACCATAAGTTCACTCCATGGTTAGCAATATCCTTAAAGAATTTCCTCCTTATTGGCAACAGGCCCAGAAAATGTCAAGAGGAGACCTTAGTTTATAAACTATGCAATGAGACAGCTATGTGTTTAGATAAAGGATTTGGCCACCAGCCCTGCACCAGCCCACTGGCATAAAGCATTCTGGCCCTTTGGCATCCAACCCTTTGGTAACTGTTACCTCTTCTCTTTTTCACCCTATGCTTTCTGGCTTCCTGGGCTTTCTTGTTTCTAAGAAAATCACAGCCATCAGGAATGGATACATGGGTGGAATGGAAGTAGCACATCTCCAGGTGGTAGTGAACTTATTCATCAAATATATCCATAATGTTATTAATCAGCAATATTCTTTCATTGACTCAGACAAATATACTTCACCAAACCACAATATTCCCATGAGTCTGTAGCACGGAGTCATGGCAATAAAAGAGGATTTTTTTAAATAATGTGCCTGCAATTCCCCATCCACTTTGGCAGCACCAGAGAGTAATAGATACAGAGTCATCCACAGAAGGGATCAGAAAAGCAAATTAACAAAGAAAATAAAAGCTGGACAAAGGTTAATATTCTTCTGGAACTGCGGAAGGTGAAAGAAGGGTCACAACTGGAAGGGGGAAAGAACTCAGGGAGAACCATTTCCTATGACAAATAAAAACAGTGACAGGGAGCCTCGTGGCAGAGAAAGCTGTTTCATCTCAAAATTGTTGTTTGCTTTGGAAATGGGCATTTTCTATCATGCTGATTTGTGAGTGTTACTTCTCTCAGACTTTATCTGTTTACACTGTGATAGCAGCCTGGAGGTGATCTGAGAAACAGAAAGTGGCTGCTGCATCCAGGGAGCCAGCCTGCTCTGGGTAAAGAGGGGCCCAACACCCCATTCATGTGCATCTTCTAAGATGGATGGAAAACTGAAACTCCCCCAAAAGATCCCAGAGGAGGCTTTATTCCTCTTGGGTTTTTTTTTATCAGACCAGTCAAGCTCAATTGTAGCAACCCTTGTATGAGCTCTGACATCTCGTCCCATCTAGATCAGTGGTTCCCACCTTCTGTTGGCCAGGGGCCACTTGATCAGGGACCACTTTGACCAGGCACTACTCTCCGACATTTGTACCAAAAGGGTTACAAATCAGTTTTTGGTCAACTTTATATTAGGTTTGGTTATTTGAGGTGCTGATTCAGAAAACTGCATTGGATAAACCACGTCAGCTCTAGTTTCTGATTCAGAACATATGCCATCCAGTTGTTGTCATCTACTCACCCACAGAAAACTATATTTAATAATCTAGAGCTCATTTGTTAATAGTAAACTTTCATGTGTAGTCAGCCTCTCCACTTCCAACATCTCAGTTGTCTTGGCACTATATAAGAAGGTTTCACAAGACCAGTCACTCTTGTTGCCATGTGGTTTTGAGACAATGGGGTAATAACGGTGAGGCTGTGAACCATATTTTCATTCTTGTGGACCACTGGTGGTCCACGGAGCACAGGTTGGGAACCACTGATCTAGATGGATTACATATGAGAGTTACTGGCTTGACTATGACTCTGGATGGCGTGATTCATTGAAATGTATTTTTTCAATGCTAATTATGTTTTAATGTTTAACTTATGTTTTAACTGATGTGGTATGATGCATTGTCAAAGGCTTTCATGGCTGGAATCACTGGGTTGTATGTTTTTTGGGCTATATGGCCATGTTCTAGAAGCATTCTCTCCTGACATTTTGTCTGCATCTATGGCAAGCATCCTCAGAGGTTGTGAGGTCTATAGCCTGAAAACCTACAACAACCCACTGATATGGTATGTTTTATGGCACCATGGAGGTGTGATTGTAAGTTACCTTGAGTCACCCTCATGATAGAGAAAGGTGGGATATAAATAAGGTAAATAATAAATAAATAAATAAATAAATAAATAAAATGTGTATTAACGTTTTGGAGAGAGAAAAACATTTCTAATCTAGAACATAACTCCAAACTATGCTGGTTTTGCAATTATGCTCCCACCCACAATTAGCAGAATTTTAATTTATTTTATTTAGCTCTTGCTCTTCACCTGAATGGGACCCAAGGTGGCTCACAACATGAATTCAAACATGTGTGTAAATTTAAAAATATATCA